GATCTGGCTGGAAACAACCAAATCTACGGCTTCTAATCTTCATTAACAACTAGTTCTAGTCGTAGATCTAACCATTTCCGATGCACAGCCGACCAGTCATGCGCCGTTTCGGTCACTTTCGTCGCCGCCAATAGTGGTGACAGGCGGTTGGCAGTGGCTTGGGGTGGCTGGGGGTGTTTTTATTCAATTTTAAACTTTTTTTGTTGTGGGGTGTTTTAGCAATATCTCAAACATAGGGCGTTAAAAGAATTATTCAAAAAATAATATTATATTAATATTTAAAAAGGAAAGCAATTTAATAAATTATATAACATACTTACAAATTTATTCTTCTCAACCAAACATATTAATATAACATACCCACCAATTTATTCCAACCAATCAAACACATTTCCCTAAATATTCCCGATAATCTTCAAATTAATCTATATTTCCATTAATATAACATTCTCAGTAATACAACATTCTTTGAACAAAACACACCTTAAAGGTATTTGCACTATTATTTTCTCCTATCATTCAAAAAATCTTAAACCCAAACCAGCAAATTCTTTCAATTTCTTCCGTATTCAAAATCTCAATACCAACAAACAACCATTACTCAGAATAACACTGCAAATCCATTAAAAGAATTAAAAATTAAAAAGAAAAAGAAGAAAAGAAATTAAATTTAAAAAAAAAAAAAGTAAAATCTCTCACAGGAGGGCTACTTGCTTGTCTGAGGCAGCAGCGATAGTAAGGTAAACTGTATCTGTATGAGTGGGGAGGGGATGAGGTGGAGAATTCACGGCAGGGAGGGAAGGGAAGCAGGGGATGTGGAAAAAGTTCAGGTGGGGTGATGGGTTAATTTTCTTTTGTGTTTTTTTTTTTAATGTTTATTTTGTTAGGAAACGATCTATTGAGGCAGCGGAAAACAAAAAAATCAATAATAACAAGGATCATTCCATAGAACCAAAATCAGGGTACAATTTTTACAGTTTATATCAAAAGGAATCTGCAGAAAATTAATCTAGAGTTTAAGAAATCATACGCACATTTGGAGGCTTCTCCAAGTTGTTTTTGAATGTATTTTGCTACCAACCCAAGTGTAAGGTCGAACCGATATAATTCATACGAAGATAATCGCAAGAAACTAAAAGGGATTTGCTAGATCCCTCTTTAGTCTTAAGAACAAAGAAGAAATGAAGAGAAATTGATTTTAGGCAAAAACCAAGTCTGGCGTGGGAGTGTTTTGGGGGTCTGTAGCTTTTCTCTTTTAATGATAATATAAAATGAATGAATCTCTAACTTTTTCAAAGAAACCTTTTTCTTTTATAGTAAAATATAATTGTCCTATTCCCATATAAAATAGGCTTAGGCTCCAATCCAAATACCCCATATTTTTAAATACTCCTAATTAGATATTTATTTTAATTCATCATTATCTCAATTAAAATCAATTAATATATTATATATATATATATATATTAACATTTAACAATAATGATAATTTATTTAAATATATGCTAACACATATTTAAATATAATTTCAGTTATTTAATTTTTCTAACAAATTAAATAAAAGGCTACGACCTCAACAAATTTAATTGCACTGTGAAATTACCAAAATACCCTTTTGCCTAAAAAGACGAAAACGCCCTTCTAACTTTTTTGCTCTTAAATTATCTTCTATGTGTGTGACCTATAGGCTCCTCATCATACCGGTAGTGTATAGTATCGTGATTAACACCAATTAATCGTCTCACTAATACACAGACCAAGATTGGCCCCTAACAAGACATCATGGCCACCCGATAGATTCGGATTCAACAAAGTAGCTACTTGTCAACGATATGATTACCGTACAATTCGATCATTTCATCATTCGTTATCTCGACGAGACGAAGGCATAGAAATAATGTCAACCTTCGGTTACTCTCGATATTATGTATTCAGTTTCTAGATCAATGACCTGTATTATAAACTAGATAGAGCAATAACTCAATCCCACTGTGGCCACAGTTTTAGTGTCATTGTCATATATTGAATTGCGCCGTGAGATAACTTCTCCCATACCCGGGAATGATGAATCCTCTGTCTATCTATCATAGTCTTGATACACTCTTTGATGCAGCCAATCACTACCGTATTGACAGCTCTGAATAGAACTGTGTTAGGCTAGTGTCAAACTGCATCAATCGGTGTACAAGGCACTCCGGTGATCTTAAGTCTAAGGATCACATGCACCACCATTCGTTAGAGGATTTGTTGCATAGACACTGGGGTTACCATCCATATGGAATCCTCTGATGGGTCAGTCCAATGAACTTGCTGCGGTGTATTCGCCTACAGCAAACACCTATGTGTTGCACCAAGTTGTCACCAAACAACCTTGACAAGTGAGTTCAGTCACTGTCTTTCGACAGGGTCATTCAACAATATGATAGCCTTACTGTATTATCTGTGCCCTTACTTCAAAATAATACTGGGGCTACAGACGTTTCTAGAATGGCCACCATATGTGCTCATAGGTATCAAGATTTGAAACACTTGATACCCTCGTCACGGTTCTACCATTCTAAGGACATATATCATCTGTTGTCTTAATTATTGTTAAAACCCAAATAATGGCAATCATACACTGTTCTGGTCAGTGAATTACATCTCAATATCTAGTACACCCAAAACATGATTTTCCTCTTCAAGGTAAATATAAAAGCAAATAAACCTAGAACTTCCACTGATTCTTGAAAGTAAACACAAAAAGGACCATCAGGCTTTTGTTTTGTACTAGTTCAAACAGTACCTCCAGAGTAAGTAGAATTGAAGAGAGGTGTACTGTTCATCCTACATTTCTTTGAGGCAGACTAATCACAATGTTATCAGTGCTGAATATCTCAAAGGCTAAAATCTTCCAAACATTACAAAAAACAAAAAGCATGATGATAGCATACATGAAAGGCACACCTGAATTGTGAACTGGACAGTTTCACACATAGTACCAATAATACAACAGAGAGTAACAGAAACAAAGCATAAAACCACTTAAAATAAATAAAGAAGAAAGGAATGAAACATTATGATAAAGACTAACCTGTTGTTTGTAGGTTTCCGAAAACTGAGAAGCAAGCAATAGTTTCAGACTTTTAAGTTTCTGACTGTAGCGGTCATTACATATGCAGATAATAGGAATTTGGAGATCTTTTGCTAGCAATAAGATCAGCAACTCCACCTCTATCTCCAGCTGACATTCCATCAACCTCTCCATAATCAGCACAGCTTTGGATGCTTGGAACTGCAAATTTCGATTGAAAATTAACTTGAGTGAGCAAAAGAAATTCCTTGTACGTTTATCTAACTATTGCAAGATCAGTAAGAATACAGAACAAACCGATCCATTTTAGAATTCAATGCCTCGTTCTGACAGTTCCTTGACGAATTCGCATTGCTTCCACCAATTCCCTTTGAAATTTTGGAATCAGCCTTCCCCGGCTATCACTAGCATTAACCTTGAGATTATTGATACACAGACCAGAAAAATGGATAGTTAATAACACAAGTATTGAGTGATACAATATAGTAATAAGCTAATAACCGGATGCTCTGGTAATAAAACTTTTTTTTCCAAATATAAGCCACCTCAATGCCTGGAAACCCAGCATCTGAGTAACCAACTTTGCTGATGTTTGTTTTCCCATACCAGGTGCTCCACTTAAAAGCACAGCCTTTTTGGCACTAGGATCAATTTCTTCTTTCCATTTTGCTTAGTTCCACTACCAAGAATTGTTCATTCCAATGTGCCAACCAATTACGAAGCTGATTAACCTGAAAATTTTACAAAGAAAATCATTATCCCAATGCTTCTGCATATATTACAAGGAATAATTCCATGCTTCTCCATATTGTAATAAGTAATATAGATAAAATTGTAATAGCTAATGCAACTGCAGAAATTGGGCCAATAACACATTTGTACCAGTGACTGATTCCCGACAATGTCATTCGGAACCTTTGGCCTATGCTTTTCTGTCCATTCAACGAAGAATCCGGATATTTGCTTTTTTCTTCTTACAGGAGAAGCACATGAGATTGTACTTTCACAGGCTACCGTGTTGCCGAAGAGTTGCCTATTCATCAACCAAATGTTTGTTTAAACTACTGAGGCAATCTCACACCAAGAAACAATACAACTGATAACTAATTATGAACATCAATATCCATTCAAAGCATCCTAAGCTCATGTTTGAACTTAAACCAATCAGCAGAGAAGTATAACATTGTTCAAGCACCACATTTATTAATTGTTAAATAAAGGTAGAAGCCAAGTCATAGCAGGGTCAGAGAAAAACATGATAGTACCATAACCACTCACCCCTCCTATCAAATAAATTATCGGCAGTATTCCCTTTAAGGACATACCTGCAAATATATCTGAATTTTTCCAGGTGAAGTCTAACATAACAACAAAATTAAGAATTTACTACTGAAATTACCACCTAATAAAAACATATAACACAAAGCTACATGTACTAGAAGAATATCAACGGTTGTCAATACAAGACCAACTCTTCGAAGTAAAGTGAGAAACCGCATTAAGAAATGCTATTTGGTGCTTAAACAACACCTTAACATACATTTCGAAATAAATCTTCAATTAACTGTCTATCATCATTTCGTGTCACTCATTTTCCAAAACACTATGAAAAATGGAAAAAAAAAAACATTTTCTTAATAAACATCAAATGCCAATTTACTGCCCAACTAACAAAAGAAGTAAGAAAAAAGAACTCATATTCCCCAAAACACAGGATTTTCAATGTAAGCAACAATACCATGTGTCTCACTCACTTCACCAGAGCATTGAACAACAATCATATATACACTAGACTTACTGTGCAATCAGAGCAGCAGAATAAACAAGTATGAAACAACAAAGTTTGGACACAAGAATTAGAAAATAAAACCAAAAAGAAAACCTTAACAGATATTAGATGTTGAAGTGATAGAATACAAACACATAGCTATACAGTGCTTACTTTCACTTCGACTTTTTGGGGACTTCGCTTGAGGGGCAGAGATGTAGCAACGTTCTCCACTGATTTCTTTGAATCATCTTGTGCAAGTGCTTTTGCTGGATTTGATGCACGGATCATATCAAACAATCCATCCTCCTAGGAACAGATACTACATATAGAAAATAAAGCAAGCTCTAAGAAATAAAGAATCCACAATTCAAAGAAAAAGTTGTGTTCAGAGATGGCAAACCCAAGCTCTTTGGCTTAGTGATTTCACTCCCCCAATATCTTCATCGCATAAAAGATAATCTGCAAGCAGATGACGTTAAACACATGCCAACACAGCTATAATCCAAACAAATAAAGACTGAAGTATGGAAAGACCGTTTTCTTGCTGACTGATCCGTAACACGTCCCCCATGGCTTTAATCAAATCTTCAGCCTCTTCCCTTTCCAAACTGTAAGTAGATCAAAATAAATGCAGTCTCAAGCTGAAGGAAATTTTAAGCTAGACACAACACTAAGACTCAACCCAATAAATTAATTTAAATATTATCACGAAGAGCAGAGTTAATACAAACCCAAAAGCTTCCTGAAAATTTAAGAAAAGCATATGCCCCTAGAATTCCCTAACACTTACAAGATTAAGCACATGAAAAGCCACATAAAGATAAGACAACATACCTGTCAAGTGTTCCACTAATTACAAAGTCAACACCAGCTAAGCAGTCAGGAGCACCTTCAGGGACTTCCTGACACAGGAAAAAAATGTTAATATTGAGAGTAAAACATTATTCTAATTAATCAATGCAAAAACTCCAAGCAGCGTCCACCTTTTCTCCTTGTGTGGAGGATCTTTCCTTTCCCCGAAATTCATAATTCCACCTTGTCACCAACTCTGCCTCTTCCAATAGCTGGTGCCCCTGATGCTCTACCACCACGACCCCTTCCACTGGGCTTTAAGAGAGGCTCTGAATCTTTAACATTATCCTCATCACCATCATCAACACATACATTTTCTGTGCAACTCCCCTACCTGAACTAGACTTCAATTCTTTCTGGAGTGACACTAGAGCCCCTCTTCTCATTCGGCAAGACAAAGTCATCATCATTGTCATCAACTTCTGAATTTTCCTTGATTGTGGAGATTTAGGGGAATCATCAATATCATTTTGTGTTTTCCCTTAGCTGGAAGTTCGCTTTTTTTTCATCATCTAGCTTTTGTTTTCTCAGCGTAAAATACTTGCTAGTTTTTCTTCTACTGAACCTTCTTTGCCTCACGAAACTGATTATCCAATGAAAAATACATAGTAAATAAATATCAATGTAGTCAAATTTGACTCTATTGAAATAGTAAATCATTGACACATTCTACGATATTTAAATACGTTCCAACATCATAATTCTGAAACTGATTGGAAAAAAGCCTGACAGCCAATAACCTATTTAGCTCTAGTCGAGAGTTGAGTTGAGTTGTCACCACCTACACGATAAGAATGTTTTCAAGTGTAACAATTAACCCCTAAACCAGATGTCAAATCTATATTAAACCCTAACGCAACCAAAAACACAAACATACACATATATCACCATATATCGTATCCCATTTATATAAGAGAAAACACTCACGGGCTCTGAATTCTTGGCTCTGAATTGCTTGTGCAGAATTTGCAGAGATTGAGCCTTGCCATTGCCTTTGTCTTTGTCATGCGGTTAAGAAACCACTTCCTAATATCTGCGGCTGTAAATCAGATAAAGCCTAGTATGTCAAAACATAATATTTAGACGCAACGCCTTCTTTAATTCTCATTAATAAAGAAAAATAAAATACTTTAAATTCCTCAATTTTACCAAGCCGCCAAAAAAGAAAAGGCTAACAAATTTAAAATGCACATAAAACATGACTCTCTACTGGTTCCTGTATAAAAATAAATATGGCTACCTTAAACAAACTATAGAGTTTCTTTTATCTCTTTTCGGATAGGAAACAAGAAGTTTGATTGTCAGTGACTGTTTAGGTTTTTCAGTTTTGGAACATTGCCTTGTTATTTTCCAAGCAACAAATGCACAGCATCAATCAAATAGATTATACTGTATGAAAACCCTAACGCTAACCCTCAACCATCTTTATAGAAGGAATCTATAACATTTAAAAAAATAAATACTTTAAAACACGATTTCCTTTCTTAGACAATAGAATTCTGTTTGAATTTTCTCTAACTTTCCCAATAACCAAAAAAGAAATCGAGAAAAAAATAAAGAAAAATTTACAACAGGAAACATATAAACCCTACCATCTCTAAACTTCGCACGAAACCAAAGATGCATGACTAAAAGTTTTCGCTGATTTCGCCTAGAAAACACAATCTGGACAGCAATAAAAGCAGCTTGTAAGTAACAAAAATTCAAAATTTTCTAACAATGTGCACAAGATTATCACTTTAATTTAATATTATAAATTCACGGCCCAAAAATAAAAGATGAAGAAAAACAACTCCAGTACTGCGGGCTACGAGGAACGGGTAATGGGCTTTGCACAAATAGGTAATATTGTAAGGACCGGCGGTGGTAACGGGAGGCTGGTCGCAGTGAGTCACTGAGTTTGTTTTTCTGAACTTTCAGTTTTTTTTTTCTGGGCGCTGAGAGGACTCATTATACGCATTACTAATATACGGGGATTTTACATCTACCACCCATAAGGAAGTAATTTTGATACGGACCAAAAGGTACATTACACGACCGAATAACATTTTCCCACTCCATCTATCACGTTCATAATTTTCTACCCTGGTTTGAATATCATCTTCTTCTACCATGTTTACGCCCGTTTACTTGATTTGAGGTTGACTGGCTTTGACCAATAAATCACCTATATAATTATGTTGCCTAAATTAAGACCAAATAACATCTTGTCCCCAAACTATCATAAAAACAAATTTCCCCTTTGGTTAGTGGTTACAAAAACACACGTCAAACTCATTTTAAATTTAGCCGTTTAACTTTAACGAGATAAGATATTTCGTTATGTTACAACTATAAATAATTAACACCAAAATTCAAAACCCAAATCTCTCCTTAACTTTCATAAATACGGTGTGTTTGGTTAGGGCTGTAGATAATTTCGATAATCTTTTTTAATTCCGGATATTCCCTTATTTAGTTGCAAGTAAAAAATATTTCGATAATCTTTTAATATCAATAGTGATTAATGTGGTTATTAGGGAGTAATTAGATACCACCTCAGGGGGTGGTATTTAAAGATTACCGAGGTAATCTTAATTTATACCCATTTGCCCTTATTAAACACCATTCGAACACAATTGTCCTCAAATGTTCTACCAAATACAATCACCCAAACTTTGATATTGAGAATTTAGCTAAAACATCCCAGCCACAAAAAATTTAAACATTAATAAAATATCCTAGCCATCAGCAATAGTCGCCAAATTGACGCACAACTACAGGATGGCTGGCTATGCGCCGATCTGGCTGTTGCCGGCCAGATTGAAGGTCGAAAACGGTCAGATCGTCGTGGATCTGGCTAGAATAGACCTAACTGTTTCTGACCAGATCACGACGATCTAGCTATTTTCGACCTTCGATTTGGTTTGAAAACATCCAGATCAATGTGGATCTGGTCGTTTTCGAGTGATCTAGCTATTTTCAGCACTTGATCTGGCCGAAAACAACCAAAACAGTGCACGGTCAGCATGTATCCACCGTCGTGCACCGTTTTGTGACTGATGGTCGGTGGTTGGCAGTGATCTTGGGTGACTGGAGGTATTTTGTTAAAATTTAAACTTATTGTTAGGTGTTTTAGCTAAATTCTCAAATATAGAGGATAAAAAGAATTTATTTAAATAATATATTATTATTATAATGATATTAAAAGAAAGGGTGATTCAATAAAAGCTTCTGTCGATAATATTTTTTTTCCCAAGAATCTGAACCAAACATTTTAATTATTTATACCACACTAATCTAACCAAATATATCATATAACATTCTTTCGTAATCTTCAAGGTAATCTATTCGGTGATAATCTTACCTTTTCAGCAATAAAATATTTCCGAACCAGACGTACCCAAGGGGTTAACTAAACCCCACAAAACAATTGATAGACTTGAGACATACTTAAAAGGCCAAGGGTAAAACGTACCTTTCAAAAAAATAATTATGGAAAAAAATAAAAAATACAATGGTTCAATTACAAATTTAACCAAAACCGGTGATCTTCTTCCTTTTTCTCTATAATTCCGTAATCCCAGAACGATTTCTTTTTTATTTCCTCTAATATTTTCTCCATCAAATATCTTCAAATTCATCCTCTTATTATTTTTTTTTTCTGATTCCGTTATTCAAACCTGTAAATCTTTCCAGTATACTTGGATCCTAAACCATAAAAGCAACTTAATTTATGAAATTAATTAGGCAAATATAAATTGTGGTGTGGAACTGACTTGTGCTTGTCTTTAAATCTTAATGTTTTTTCTACAAATTATATATAGAAAATGATATTTTATACAGTTCCGAAATAAAAACTGAGACGAGCCATACTAAGGAGTAATATATAAGGTGAACATAAGACTTCCATTTTTTTTTTTTTAACCACCTATTGAAAATTTTTTTTTTTTCTGAATAATCCTATTTTGATTACATGATATCTTAGGTTGCATGTGTATTATGGTGCATATACAGGACATCCTAAAGAAAGCAAGACGTTAAAACGAAGAAAATGGGCACGCAATATAAAGAAAATAGGGATTGCAAAAATAATAAGACAAAATAAGGATTGCAAAAATAATAGAGACAGTTAGAACTCTAAATGGGGCGGTTTGGTTAGGGGTTATATAAGATTATTAGGGTTATGACATCTTATATACTTGATTACTATGTTTAGTTGCAAGTAATATAAGATTCTATTAATTTTTAATACCAATAGTAGTTACTATTAGTAATTGGAGGTAATCGATAACCTTCATTTTCTAAGTATTGTATATTACTGGTTATTTTTTTTTTGTTACAATTTTATCCCTTATTATAAAATTTTTGAACAATAATACCCTTATTTTAAACCAATTACATTAATCTAGCTTTACAATTTTACCCTTATTAATTAAGTTTTTGGACAAAATTACCCTTGAATTCAAAACAAATTGCAAACCACCACTACCACCCAACCACCACCACTATCGAAAGTCGTCAGAGGCTGGATATGACCCCTGATGGCCAAAAACAGCCATATCGAAGTAGATATGCTGGAAATGGCCAGATCTATTCTCGCCGTTTCCGCCAAAATCCATTGCCGTTAACGGCCATATCTCACAGATCTATTCTGGCTGGAATAGATCTAGCTGTTAACGTTCATATCTCTCCTAGATATGGTCATTAAAGGTCATGGATCTAGCCGGAAATGGAATAATAGATCTGGCCATTTTTGGCCGATCTACTTCGATATGGCCATTTTCGACCCTCATATGGCCAGAACAACCTTATCGGAGCCTCCTGACAATTCTCGGTGACTTTTGATGATTTTCAACGACTTTTGATGACTTCCGACAGTGAATGGCGGTGGCGGGTAATGGCTTAGAGTGGTGGGAGATTTTGTTTTAAATTGAAGCTTTATATAGCGGGGGTCTTTTAGCTAAATCTGAAATGTTGGGGGTTAAAAGAAATTATTTAAAATTAATAATAGATAATATCATATTAATATTTAAAAAGAGGGCAATTTAGTAATTTAAATAACATACTTACCAATTTATTCAACATAACCAAACACATTTCCTAAAAATTCTCAATAATCTCAAGGTAATCTAACTTTCCATTAATATAACATTACTAGTAATCCAACATTCCATGAACCAAGTGCCCCTAAGAGTGTATTTGGTTGGGGGTTAGTATATAAGAGGTAAATCTGGTTACCTTCATTTTCTTAGGTATTTTAAGATTATTTTGTAATATTATTTTGTTACAATTTTACCCTAACTATTAAAATATTGGACAATAATCCCTTATTTTAAAACAATTACAAAAATAATAATGGCTATTTTATTCTTATATAAAAAATTAGGACATAATACTCCTAGACTTTAAAAAAATTACTCAACACGTGTGTGGCTGTTCTGGGCACCATCGTCGACGATCAACTGCCACGAACGTAGACAGACCGGTCTGGTCTGGGCTGGCTACCGTGCATCGATCGCCATTATCGGTAAGATCTCTAGTCGAAAACTACCAAATCACTGTAGTATCTGGCTGGAAACAACCAAATCTACGCTTCTAATCTTCATTACAACTAGTTCTAGTCGTAGATCAACCATTTCCGATGCACAATCCAAGAAAATTGTTAAACTAGAGACTTGGTGTCTAACCTACTAAATAGATTAGCATAAATGTCCATCACGAATAACATGGTGAAGTCATTGTTTTATAGGAAACATAGTGAGGTCATTTTCATCTTACAATAGCACCATTGTGAATTTACCCAAAAAAAAAAAAAAAAAAAAAAAAAATTTGAAAAACTGTAGGATTTAACAAGATCTCCCAGCAAGATCTAAAATTCTCTTGAATTTTGGTAATAGGATTTCTAGACACAGCAGATAAGAACCTGAATAAGTAGAGGGACTAGGTCTGGATCACTCATGCTCAGGTCAATCCGCTCGTCCATTCTCAACCTTCCCCCATTAAAGCCAAACAGCCTACAACCACAGACATTATTAGTACAGCAATAGAATGAAATATTTAATGTCCATGGCTGATGGACCAGATATCATCCAGAGGTACACACAAACAAATATCTTTGCCTATGCCCTTTACGTTTTAATTTAGTTGCAAAAGAAAAAGTGATTGACATTAATCATCCACACCACAGAATTTAGAAGCATACAAAATATAATCAACAAAACATGCACTAGAATTGCACTTTGTATGATGAATCAGTGGCAAAAAGTCAAAGCATATAAAAGTACTTAAATAAACTAAATGATAAGTTAAGAGTACCGGGTAAAACTTCATAATTATAAAAGCAGAAACCCCAAAATTATGGTATCCATGATGAAACTAATAGAAATTAGGGACAAGATTATGATCAATGATATCACTATATAGTAATAAGAAGAGCAATATTTAACATGATTAAATAATGAGATTAAACACTATACACTCACAACAACTTTTAAGAAGATATAAGCAGGGAGTTGAGAGGAGATTGACAATAAAGTTCACTTAAATGAACAGCCTCAAACATTGTTACAAGCAAGCCATAGCAATAAAAATAAAAAAGGAAAAAAGAAAAGTATAGTGCTCATACTTATCAACAGCTGCAAATGGTGAAATATCTTCATCCTTGGCACTACTAAGAAGGCGCTGTCTTATGTCATCATACTTGATGTTTGACATGGAGAGACTCATATACTGCAGTTGGTTTATGGCCATGCGCATATCTCCATTCACTCTCTCTGCAAGTTCCTCGAGAGCAATCTGAAAGTCAAAAGTTAAATATGAATGATTGCATGATGAAAGAGCTTAATGAGTAGGAGTAATTGCATTGATTACAGGAATTTGTTGTAATTCTAAAAGCAAAAGCACATTGAACAAATAAGAGTAAAATTTAAAATTAAAATTGAAAAGAAAAAAGAAACAAAATGCCTACAATTATTTACTTGATTGGTTCTAACTCTCCTGACCCTTAAGCATAATCAACAGGTAACCACCCAAAGAAACAATAACCAAAACAAATAAATGACTGAGGTCAATGGATGCAATCTTGGACAAATTTCTGTAGGCTTTCTCTACTCTGCAGTAAATTGTTGACCAACTTCAAAATAACCACTAGCATTCTGTTTTCTTTTCAGATACCAACTCTTTGCATCTAGATGATAAAAGGCTAAAGTGCCATGAAAAGAGTGTAAAGTGTAAAATGAATACATTCCCATGGAGCATCACAAATCTAGTATAAATACAAATCCAAGTTTAAAAAGAAAAATGAGGTATCTTGCAAAAGATTTCCAAGATACCTCATTTTTCTTTACTTATCATAACTGCTAGGGATTTTGAGTTGATGTGTTCAACTTTTTTGTGGCTTCATGGGCTGTTCTTATCTTTCTATTTTTGGGTGTTCATATCGCTCAGGTTACTCAAGGTTTTTAAGATTTTTTGTAAGGATCGAGCACTCTTTGTATTGGACCCCTGATCCACCATTGTAACTTTTTCTTTCAGTTTTAAAATACTTGGTCCTTCCTAAGAAAAAAATAAATAAATAAAACAAAATCATTAACAGAGCATTTACCTCATTAACCTGAAGACCTTCAGCATTCGCAATTTGCATTAACCTCTTAGCCATCTACCATGCAACAAATTCCATGTTAGAAACCCTATATTAAGAACAGGTTGTCCAGCAATCAAAGTAAACAGTCTGAATCTAGAGCCACAAATGTTCAAATTTGATTTATCCAAACTCAAGCCTGGGATCCATGCACAAGTAGACATATACATAAAAACTTAACGTACAAACATGCTGTATAAACATAGGTTTGTATGCAAGGGAAAAGGAAGTATCTGTCTCTATCTCTGTTCAATGGGTTAGAAGAGATTCTAGAGGATGCATAAAGACAAATTTGTGTGTGTAAAGGAAAAACATCATTACACTGAACGGGCAACATGAGATTAGCTGGAAAAAAAATACTAAATGATATTTACAGAAAACAAAATAAATATGTTCAAGAAATGAACAAAATCTCCAGAAAGTAATCACTGGAAAGCTAAACCCATAAAATCTACTCCTTGAATCATCTACGCAACTGACCCCAATATGTTCTGTTGTCTTAATTATTTGTTAAAACCCAAATAAATGGCAATCATACACTGTTCTGGTCAGTGAATTACATCTCAATATCTAGTAATCACCCAAAAACATGATTTTCCTCTTCAAGAGTAAATATAAAAGCAAATAAACCTAGAACTTCCACTGATTCTTGAAAGTAAACACAAAAAAGGACCATCAGGCTTTTGTTTTGTACTAGTTCAAAACAGGTATCTCCAGACTAGGTAGAATTGAGGAGAGGTGTACTGTTCATCCTACATTTCTTTGAGGCAGACTAATCACAATGTTATCAGTGCTGAATATCTCAAAGGCTAAAATCTTCCAAACATTACAAAAAACAAAAAGCATGATGATAGCATACATGAAAGGCACACCTGAATTGTGAACTGGACAGTTTCACACATAGTACCAATAATACAACAGAGAGTAACAGAAACAAAGCATAAACAACCACTTAAAATAAAATAAAAGAAGAAAGGAATGAAACATTATGATAAAGACTAACCTGTTGTTTTGTAGGTTTCCGAAAACTGAGAAGCAAGCAATAGTTTACAAGACTTTTAAGTTTCTGACTGTAGCGGTCATTACATATGCAGATAATAGGAATTTTGGAGATCTTTATGCTAGCAATAAGATCAGCAACTCCACCTCTATCTCCAGCTGACATTCCATCAACCTCATCCATAATCAGCACAGCTTTTGGATGCTTGGAACTGCAAATTTCGATTGAAAATTAACTTGAGTGAGCAAAAGAAATTCCTTGTACGTTTATCTAACTATTGCAAGATACAGTAAGAATACAGAACAAACCGATCCATTTTAGAATTCAATGCCTCGTTGCTGACAAGTTCCTTGACAGAATTCGCATTGCTTCCACCAATTCCCTTTGAAATTTTGGAATCAGCCTTCCCACGGCTATCACTAGCATTAACCTTGAGATTATTGGGATACACAGACCAGAAAAACAGATAGTTAATAACACAAGTATTGAGTGATACAATATAGTAATAAGCTAATAACCGAGATGCTCTGGTAATAAAACTTTTTTTTTTTTTTTTCCAAATATAAGCCACCTCAATTGCCTGGAAACCCAGCATCTGAGTAACCAACTTTGCTGATGTTGTTTTTCCCATACCAGGTGCTCCACTTAAAAGCACGGCCTTTTTGGCACTAGGATCAATTTTCTTCTTTCCATTTTGCTTAGTTCCACTACCAAGAAATTGTTCATTCCAATGTGCCAACCAATTACGAAGCTGATTAACCTGAAAATTTTACAAAGAAAATCATTATCCCAATGCTTCTGCATATATTACAAGGAAATAATTCCAATGCTTCTCCATAATGTAATAAGTAATATAGATAAAATTGTAATAGCTAATGCAACTGCAGAAATTGGCCAATAACACATTTGTACCAGTGACTGATTCCCGACAATGTCATTCGGAACCTTTGGCCTATGCTTTTCTGTCCATGTCAACGAAGAATCCTGGATATTTTGCTTTTTCTTCTTTACAGGAGAAGCACATGAGATTGTACTTTCACAGGCTACCTTTGTTGCCGAAGAGTTGCCTATTCAATCAACCAAATTGTTTGTTTAAACTACTGAGGCAATCTCACACCAGAAACAATACAACTGATAACTAATTATGAACATCAAATCCATTTCAAAGCATCCTAAGCTCATGTTTTGAACTTAAACCAATCAGCAGAGAAGTTATACATTGTTCAAAGTCACCACATTTATTAATTGTTAAATAAAAGGTAGAAGCCAAGTCATAGCATGGGTCAGAGAAAAACATGATAGTACCATAACCACTCACCCCCTCCTATCAAATAAATTATCTGCAGTATTCCCTTTAAGGACTATACCTGCAAATATATCTGAATTTTTCCAGGTGAAGTCTAACATAACAACAAAAATTAAGAATTTTACTACTGAAATTACCCACCTAATAAAAACATATAAACTACAAAAGCTACATGTACTAAGAAGAATATCAACGGATTGTCATATACAAGACCACACTCTTCGAAGTAAAGTGAGAAACCGCATTAAGAAAATGCTATATTGGTGCTTAAACAACACCTTAACATACATTTCGAAATAAATCTTCAATTAACTGTCTATCATCATTTCGTGTCACTCATTTTCCAAAACAACTATGAAAAATGGAAAAAAAAAAAACATTTTCTTAAATAAACATCAAATGCCAATTTACTGCCCAACTAACAAAAGAAGTAAGAAAAAAGAACTCATATTCCCAAAAACACAGGATTTTTCAATGTAAGCAACAATACCATGTGTCTCACTCACCTCACCAGAGCATTGAACAACAATCAGATGATACATAACACTAGACTTACCGTGCAATTCAGAGCAGCAGAATAAACAAGTATGAAACAACAAAGTTTGGACACAAGAATTAGAAAATAAAACCAAAAAGAAAACCTTAACAGATATTAGATGTTGAAGTGATAGAATACAAACACATAGCTATACAGTGCTTACTTTTCACTTCGACTTTTTGGGGACTTCGCTTGAGGGGCAGAGATGTAGCAACGTTCTCCACTGATTTCTTTGAATCATCTTGTGCAAGTGCTTTTGCTGGATTTGATGCATGGATCATATCAAACAATCCATCCTCCGTAAGGAAAGCAGTACTACATATAGAAAATAAAGCAAGACATCTAAGAAATAAAGAAATCCACAATTCAAAAGAAAAAGTTGTGTTCAGAGATGGCAAACCCAAGCTCTTTGGCTTTAGTTGATTTCACTCCCCCAATATCTTCATCGCATAAAAGATAATTCTGCAAGCAGAAGATGTTAAACACATGCCAACACAGCTATAAATCCAAACAAATGAAGACTGAAGTATGGAAAGACCGTTTTCTTGCTGACTGATCCAGTAACACGTCCCCCATGGCGTTTAATCAAATCTTCAGCCTCTTCCCTTTCCAAACTGTAAGTAGATCAAAATTAAATGCAGTCTCCAGCTGAAGGAAATTTTAAGCTAGACACAACACTAAGACTCAACCCAATAAAATAATTTAAATATTATCACAAAGAGCAGAGTTAATACAAACCCAAAAGCTTCCTGAAAAATTATTAAGAAAAGCATATGCCCCTAGAATTCCCTATACACTTACAAGATTAAGCACATGAAAAGCCACATAAAGATAAGACAACATACCTGTCAAGTGTTCCACTAATTACAAAAGTCAAACCAGCTAAGCAGTCAGGAGCACCTTCAGGGACTTCCTGACACAGGAAAAAAAATGTTAATATTGAGAGTAAAACAATTATTCTAATTAATCAATGCAAAAACTCCAAGCAGCGTCCACCTTTTCTCCTTTGTGTGGAGGATCTTTCCTTTCCCCGAAATTCATAATTCCACCTTGTCCACCAACTCTGCCTCTTCCAATAGCTGGTGACCCTGATGCTCTACCACCACGACCCCTTCCACTGGGCTTAACAGGAGGCTCTAAATCTTTAACATTATCCTCATCACCATCATCAACACATACAGATTTCTGTGCAACTCCCCTACCTGAACTAGACTTCAATTTCTTTCTGGGAGTGACACTAGAGCCCCTCTTCTCATTCGGCAAGACAAAGTCATCATCATTGTCATCAACTTTCTGAATTTTCCTTGATCGTGGAGATTTACGGGAATCATCAATATCATTTTGTGTTTTCCTCTTAGCTGGAAGTTCCGCTTTTCCTTTTTCATCATCTAGCTTTTGTTTCTCAGCAGTAAAATACTTGCTAGTTTTTCTTCTACCTGAACCTTCTTTGCCTCCACGAAACTGGATTAATCCAATGAAAAATATATAGTAAATAAATATCAACGTAGTCAAATTTGACTCTATTGAAATAGTAAATCATTGACACATTCTATGATATTTAAATACGTATTCAAATCCTCAGTTTCTGTTCCTTAATAGCAAAACTTTATTCAACAAGACTAAAATTCCATGGAGTTTTCAACAATACTCCATTTTCTTTATACTCTTCTAGGTTGAAATCAAAAGATTTAAAAAAATTGAAAATTAACATTTAGATGTCTCCCTTTTTCCATTTGCATTCATTGTTTTATATTCCAACATCATAATTCTGAAACTGATTGGAAAAAAGCCTGACAGCCAAATAACCTATTTAGCTCTAGTCGAGAGTTGAGTTGAGTTTGTCACCTACAACGATAAGAATGTTTTCAAGTGTAACAATTAACACCCTAAAACCAGATGTCAAATCTATATTAAACCCTAAAGCAACCAAAAACACAAACATACACATATATCACACATATATCTGTATCCCATTTATATAAGAGAAAACACTCACGGGCTCTGAATTCATTGGCTCTGAATTGCTTGGTGCAGAATTTGCAGAGATTGAGCCATTGCCATTGCCTTTGTCTTTGTCATGTGGTTTAAGAAACCACTTCCTAATATCTTGCGGCTGTAAATCAGATAAAGCCTAGTATGTCAAACATAATATTTTAGACGCAACGCCTTCTTTTAATTCTCATTAATAAAGAAAAATAAAATACTTTAAATTCCTCTAATTTTACCAAGCCGCAAAAAAAGAAAAGGCTAACAAATTTAAAATGCACATAAAACACTGACTCTCTACTTGGTTCCTGTAAATAAAAATAAATATGGCTACCTTAAACAAAACTATAGAGTTTCTTTTATCTCTTTTTTCGGATAGGAAACAAGAAGTTTGATTGTCAGTGACTGTTTAGGGTTTTTCAGTTTTGGAACATTTGCCTTGTTATTTTCCAAAGCAACAAATGCAACAGCATCAATCAAATAAGATTATACTGTATGAAAACCCTAACGCTAACCCTCAACCATCTTTATAGAAGGAATCTATAACATTTAAAAAAATAAAAACTTTAAAAACACGATTTCCTTTCTTAGACAATAGAATTCTGTTTGAATTTTCTCTAACTTTCCCAATAACCAAAAAAGAAATCGAGAAAAAAATAAAGAAAAATTTACAACAGGAAACATATAAACCCTTACCATCTCTAAACTTCGCACGAAACCAAAGATGCAATGACTAAAAGTTTTCGCTGATTTCGCCTCGAAAACACAATCTGGACAGCAATAAAAGCAGCTTGTAAGTAACAAAAATTCAAAATTTCTAACAATGTGCACAAGATTATCACTTTAATTTAATATTATATAATTCACGGCCCAAAAAAAAAATAAATAAATAAGATGGAAGAAAAACAACTTCCAGTACTGCGGGCTACGACGAACGGGTAATGGGCTTTGCACAAATAGGTAATAGATTAAGGACCGGCGGTGGTAACGGGAGGCTGGTCGCAGTGAGTCACTGAGTTTTGTTTTCTGAACTTTCAGTTTTTTTTTTTTTCTGGGCGCTGAGAGGACTTATTATACGCATTACTAATATAGGGGATTTTACATCTACACCCATAAGGCATAATTTTGATACGGACCAAAAGGTACATTACACGACCGAATAACATTTTCCCACTCCATCTATCACGTTCATAATTTTCTACCCCTGGTTTGAATATCATCATTCTACCATGTTTAGACTCCGTTTACTTGAATTTGAGGTTGACTGGCTTTGACCAATAAAATACACCTATGTTGCCTAAATTAAGACCAAATAACATCTTGTCCCCAAACTATCATAAAAACACAATTTTCCCCTTTGGTTAGTGGTTACAAAAACACACAACGTCAAACTCATTTTAAAATTTAGCCGTTTAACTTTAACGAGATAAGGATATTTTCGTTATGTTACAACTATTAAATAATTAACAACCAAAATTCAAAACCCAAATCTCTCCTTAACTTTCATAAATACGGTGTGTTTGGTTAGGGCTCTAGTAAGATAATTTCGATAATCTATTTTTAATTCCGGATATTCCCTTATTTAGTTGTCAAGTAATAAAATATTTCGATAATCTTTTAATATCAATAGTGATTAATGTTGGTTAATTAGGGAGTAATTAGATTACCACCTCAGGGGGTGGTATTTAAAGATTACCGAGGTAATCTTAATTTTATACCCATTTTGCCCTTAATTAAACACCATTCTGAACACAATTGTCCTCAAATGTCTACCAAATAACAATCACCCAAACTTTGATATTTGAGAATTTAGCTAAAACATCCCAGCCACAAAAAATTTAAACATTAATAAAATATCCCTAGCCATCAGCAATAGTCGCCAAATTGACGCACAACTAACAGGATCTGGCTGGCTATGCGCCGATCTGGCTGTTGCCGGCCAGATTGAAGGTCGAAAACGGTCAGATCGTCGTGGATCTGGCTAGAATAGACCTAACTGTTTCTGACCAGATCCACGACGATCTAGCTATTTTCGACCTTCGATTTGGTTGAAAACATCCAGATCAATGTGGATCTGGTCGTTTTCGGAGTGATCTAGCTATTTTCAGCCTTTGATCTGGCCGAAAACAACCAAAACAGTGCACGGTCAGCATGATCTCACCGGTCGTGCACCGTTTTGGTGACTGATGTCGGTGGTTGGCAGTGATCTTGGGTGACTGGAGGTATTTTGTTAAAATTTAAACTTTATTGTTAGGGTGTTTTAGCTAAATTCTCAAATATAGAGGGATAAAAAGAATTTATTTAAATAATAATATTATTATTATAATGATATTAAAAAGAAAGGGTGATTCAATAAAAGCTTCTGTCGATAATATTTTATTTTTCCCAAGAATCTGAACCAAACATTTTAATTATTTATACCCACTAATCTAACCAAATATATTCATATAACATTCTTTCGTAATCTTCAAGGTAATCTATCTCGGTGATAATCTTACCTTTTCAGCAATAAAATATTTCCCGAACCAGACGTACCCAAGGGGTTAACCTAAACCCCACAAAACAATTGATAGACTTGAGACATACTTAAAAGGCCAAGGGTAAAACGTACCTTTCAAAAAAATAATTATGGAAAAAAATAAAAAATACAATGGTTCAATTACAAAATTTAACCAAAACCGGTGATCTTCTCTTCCCTTTTTCTCTATAATTCCGTAATCCCAAGAACGATTTCTTATTTTCCTCCTAATATTTTCTCCATCAAATATCTTCAAATTCATCCTCTTATTATTTTTTTTTTCTGATTCCGTTATTCAAACCTGGTAAAATCTTTCCAGTATACTTGGATCCTAAACCATAAAAGCAACTCTAATTTATGAAATTAATTAGGCAAATATAAATTGTTGATGTATGAACTGACTTGTGCTTGTCTTTAAATCTTAATGTTTTTCTAATCCAAATTATATATAGAAAATGATATTTTATACAGTTCCGAAATAAAAACTTGAGACGAGCCATACTAAGGAGTAATATATAAGGTGAACATAAGACTTCCATTTTTTTTTTTTTAACCACCTATTGAAAATTTTTTTTTTTTCTGAATAATCCTATTTTGATTACATGATATCTTAGGTTGCATGTGTAATTATGGTGCATATACAGGACATCCTAAAGAAAGCAAGACGTTAAAACGAAGAAAATGGGCACGCAATATAAAGAAAATAGGGATTGCAAAAATAATAGAGACAAAATAAGGATTGCAAAAATAATAGAGACAGATTAGAACTCTAAATGGGGCGTTTGGTTAGGGGTTATATAAGATTATTAGGGTTATGACATCTTATATTACTTGATTACTATGTTTAGTTGTCAAGTAATATAAGATTCTATTAATTTTTAATACCAATAGTAGTTACTATTAGTAATATTGGAGGTAATCTGATAACCTTCATTTTCTTAAGTATTGTAATATTACTTGGTTATTTTATTTTTGTTACAATTTTATCCCTTATTAATAAAATTTTTGAACAATAATACCCTTATTTTAAAACCAATTTACATTAATCTAGCTTTTACAATTTTACCCTTATTTAATTAAGTTTTTGGACAAAATTACCCTTGAATTCAAAACAAATTGCAAACCACCACTACCACCCAACCACCACCACTATCGAAAGTCGTCAGGAGGCTTGGATATGACCCCTGATGGCCAAAAACAGCCATATCGAAGTAGATATAGCTGGAAATGGCCAGATCTATTCTCGCCGTTTCCGGCCAAATCCATTGCCGTTAACGGCCATATCTCACAGATCTATTCTGGCTGGAATAGATCTAGCTGTTAACGTTCATATCTCTCCTAGATATGGTCATTAAAGGTCATGGATCTAGCCGGAAATGGATATAATAGATCTGGCCATTTTTGGCCAGATCTACTTCGATATGGCCATTTTCGACCATCAATATGGCCAGAAACAACCTTATCGGAGCCTCCTGACAATTCTCGGTGACTTTTGATGATTTTCAACGACTTTTGATGACTTCCGACAGTGAATGGCGGTGGCGGGTAATGGCTTAGAGTGGTGGGGAGATTTTGTTTTAAATTGAAGCTTTATATAAGCGGGGGTCTTTTAGCTAAATCTGAAATGTTGGGGGTTAAAAGAAATTATTTAAAAATTAATAATAAAGATAATATCATATTAATATTTAAAAAGAGGGCAATTTAGTAATTTAAATAACATACTTACCAATTTATTCCAATTAACCAAACACATTTTCCTAAAAATTCTCAATAATCTTCAAGGTAATCTAACTTTCCATTAATATAACATTACTAGTAATCCAACATTCCATGAACCAAGTGCACCCTAAGAGTGTATTTGGTTGGGGGTTAGTAATATAAGAGGTAAATCTGGTTACCTTCATTTTCTTAGGTATTTTAAGATTATTTTGTAATATTATTTTTGTTACAATTTTACCCCTAACTATTAAAATATTTGGACAATAATACCCTTATTTTTAAAACAATTTACAAAAATAATAATGGACTATTTTATTCTTATATAAAAAAAATTAGGACATAAATACTCCTAGACTTTAAAAAAATTACTCAACGGTGGTGGCTGGATCTGGGCACCATCGTCGACGATCAACTGCCGAACGATGACGCGAGACCGGTCTGGGTCTGGCTGACCGTGCATCGATCTGGCCATTATCGGTAAGATCTCTAGTCGAAAACTACCAAATCACTGTAGATCTGGCTGGAAACAACCAAATCTACGGCTTCTAATCTTCATTAACAACTAGTTCTAGTCGTAGATCTAACCATTTCCGATGCACAGCCGACCAGTCATGCGCCGTTTCGGTCACTTTCGTCGCCGCCAATAGTGGTGACAGGCGGTTGGCAGTGGCTTGGGGTGGCTGGGGGTGTTTTTATTCAATTTTAAACTTTTTTTGTTGTGGGGTGTTTTAGCAATATCTCAAACATAGGGCGTTAAAAGAATTATTCAAAAAATAATATTATATTAATATTTAAAAAGGAAAGCAATTTAATAAATTATATAACATACTTACAAATTTATTCTTCTCAACCAAACATATTAATATAACATACCCACCAATTTATTCCAACCAATCAAACACATTTCCCTAAATATTCCCGATAATCTTCAAATTAATCTATATTTCCATTAATATAACATTCTCAGTAATACAACATTCTTTGAACAAAACACACCTTAAAGGTATTTGCACTATTATTTTCTCCTATCATTCAAAAAATCTTAAACCCAAACCAACAAATTCTTTCAATTTGTTCCGTATTCAAAATCTCAATACCAACAAACAACCATTACTCAGAATAACACTGCAAATCCATTAAAAGAATTAAAAATTAAAAAGAAGAGGAAGAAAAGAAATTAAATTTAAAAAAAAAAAAAAAGTAAAATCTCTCACAGGAGGGCTACTTGCTTGTCTGAGGCAGCAGCGATAGTAAGGTAAACTGTATCTGTATGAGTGGGGAGGGGATGAGGTGGAGAATTCACGGCAGGGAGGGAAGGGAAGCAGGGGATGTGGAAAAAGTTCAGGTGGGGTGATGGGTTAATTTTCTTTTGTTTTTGTTTTTTTTTTAATGTTTATTTTATACTTACTTTTAAATAATTAAGGATAAAATAGACTTTACATACTCAAAAACATTTTATCTTTGATTTTGTGGGTTCAACCTAACAATCTTCGTTGATGCTTGATTTTGACACCAGCGACCTCACACGTGCAAAGTGCTAAACAACTCTTAGAAATTACACGTGAGTAATTTGAGATTTAAGTTAAGGTCACAATAGCATGCAAAGACTTAATAGTAAATGAGACAGTGAGAATTTTATAATGGTTCGGATGCTTAAAGTGATTCCTACATCCACTGTTTTCTTTTATATGAATGTTCCTGGTTATTAGCCAAGTTACAAGAGGTCACG